TTGGGAGGGAAAATGAAGACCGCATAAACCACACGTCAGATGAGGTAATCTTCCCCATGGCGTTATTTCTGCTATAATGCACGTTAGGGCAAATTCCTTTTTCCCCCCCTGTACAGTCACATATCCGTGACTTTATTCCACTGTAGATTTTTTTCCTTTGCATCATTACACATTAGCATACTGCATACTTATTTTTCCTGTGCTTGTGTTATTTTTGTTTGGGGGGGTTTAAGGCTGAAAGGCAGTACGCAGTGTACATCTTGGCATTTTCTCTGAAGTTGGCTAGATGTTCCGTTTTCTTGTCAAAGCAACCTTTGAGAACAAACTGAGGTCAGGATAAAGTAAAAGAGCTGCAGCAGTTCGCAGGAAACTAAATTCTGATGTTTGTGTTAATTGCTGTTGGAAGCAGCCACCAGACTCCATTGACAAAAACAGCAATTTTACTCCTAAAGACACATTTACAATAACGAGTGTTTGTTTGGGTAAGCTGGGATGGTTTGGTTTCTTTGAAGTGGTTTTTGTACAGAAACGCCTGTGGTTCATGGGTGAAAGTAAAAAAAAAAAAAAAACAATTTTAAGAAATTCAGGTGTGTGCTGTTTTTAGGTCATTTTCTCTGTTTTACTTTTCCACTGGAAGCTGAAACCATTTTATTGCTCTCTGGGCTCCATTAACAAAAGTAGTAATTTTACTATTAAGAACACAGGAGTCGATGGTTTACCGCTGCCTGTTTTCCTTGCACCATGGAATGATTAGAACAGTTTTAAAAGCCTAATTTGAAAGTGAACCCAACGCTAAATGAATACCAGTGGACAGGCAACCATAGGCAAAATAAAAAAGGATATAGTTCTTTGTTATACCAACTGTCTGGTGCTGGAGGAACGGCACTGGACAACAAAGTTGACTTCACATGCACTGTCCCAAGCCTTTTCTCCCAGTTTTGCAGCTTTTGCACCATCACGGCAAGGCCGAAGACATAACTGTACCATCATGTCATCGAATCAGAGACTCACAGATAGATGTTGCAACAATTTGAAAACATTGTTATTGTTGTTACAGTGGTCATCTACCAATCAGCAGACTTGTGTTTAGATTTCCATGTATGCCAAAGTATCCTCAAGCAAGATACTGACCCTCGAGTTGCCTGGGATGCATCTGTCAGAGTGTGAGTGTGTGAATGTTAAAATATATGTTCTTGTATAAATGAGTGTGTGAATGGATGAATAAGGAGTGGAGTGGGGGCCATAAATGGAAACAATAGCCCACTCTACAGAATAAATGCCTTATGTAACACAACATCAAACTAACATCCTCTAAGTCATGGAAACGTATTGATGTATCTTAAAGTCATTTATTGTTGGACTGTGCAGCTGGAGAATTGCTTTATATAATCCAACACCAACTTACACTGTATTGCCAAAAGTATTCACTTATCCATCCACATCAGTAGCTCAATGAATTGCAGCGTGGTACCGTGATAGGATGCCACATGTGAAAAAAGTCCAGTCATGAAATTTCCTCATTACTAGATTTTCCACAGGCCACTATTAGTGGTATAGCAAAGCAACTCAGCCACAAAGTGGTAGGCCATGTAAAATCACAGAGCGGGGTCAGCAGGTGTTCTGGTCGCCAACACTGCAGATCTCCAAATTCATGCGGCCTTCAGATTTGCTTAGAATCGGTGCGTAGAGAGGAATGTGTTTCCATGGCTGAGCAGCTGCAGCCTTACATCACCAAGCACAGCGCAACGCATTGGATGCAGTGGTGTAAAGCATGCTGCCACTGGACTGTAGAGCAGTGGAGACACATTCTCTGGAGTGATCAATCACACTTCTCTGTCCAACATTCCAATGGACGGGTTCAGGTTTGGCGGTTGCCAGGGGAACGGTACTAAACGATATTTGACTGCTTTGTGCAAAGTGTAAAGTTTGTTGGAGGGGGGATTGTGGTGTGGGGTTGTTTTTCAGCAGTTGGGCTCGGCGTCTTAGTTTCAGTGAAAGCAACTCATGCACTAATGCTTCAGCATACCAAGACATTTTAGACAATTTCATGCTCCCAACTTTGTGGGAACAGTTTGAGGATGGCCCCTTCCTGCTCCAACATGACTGCACACCAGTGCACAAAGCAAGGTCCATAAAGACATGGATGAGCGAGTTTGGTGTCGAAGAACTTGACTGGCCTGCACAGAGTCCTGACCTCAACCAGGTAGAACACCTTTGAGATGAATTAGAGTGGAGACTGTGAGCCAGGACTTCTCACCCAACAATGTCTGACCTCACAAATGCGCTTCTGGAAGAACGGTCAAGGATTCTCATAAGCACCCTCCTAAACCTTGTCTTTGAGGAAAGCCTTCCCAAAAGAATTGAATTGTACTGCTATGTAACTCATGGACATGCATTAAAATTGATTGCTGTAAAAGTTGCTGGTAACATTAGCTACCATATAGAAAAGTACAGTTGTTTAGTTTTTTTTGAGAACCAATTATTTCAGCTTTGCTCATTCAGCAGCCCCAACTATCTTTCTCCTCTCACTCCCTCTTTACTTGAGCCATTTCCTTTCAATCACGCAGACAGCACTTCACAGTTGCACCTGTTGCTGTGAAATAGTTTGGGGCTTCATGGGAAATGGATTTGACGAGAGAGAAAATGCTGTCGGTGCTGGTAAGAGGCAGCGTGACCTCGCCTGCCAGTAAAGTAGCCATTCTCCTCTCACTTCCATCTGCAGCTGTTAATGTCGTTGAAAAGAGACCTGCGACGCTTCTGGGGGACCCGGCTGGCATTAACTGGCTTTACTTAAGCAGCCATTTTATTGAAAAATACATGATATTTCTAAAGTTAACCTCCATTACGCAAGCTAAGCTCTAATTTCTGAAAGCTACTGTGACTGCAGACACGGTCAGGACTCTTCTCCTCTGCGACGTGATTTCACTGGCAGAGGAGAGCGGATAATGATCCCATAAATTGGAACATTATTTTCTATTTGTCCGCTTTTTTCTTAAATTACAGTGTGCTTTTGAGACATTAAAAGCAGCAATAAACAAAAGGCAATTAGGTCAAGAGCGCAAATCCTACAAGGGTGGAACAATTTAACAAAAACAAAAAACAGACAATTAAGAGTGAATTAAACGGGTATAAAGAGATAAATAACAAATCCTGTTTGTTTAAAAATGTCCAGCTAACAGCCTCTACTTTAGTGGCTTTTCTCACTCTTCATCCGAAAGGCCACAAATCTCACTAATTGCACATTTAGCAGCAACAAAAAACAGAAGCCATGTATCATTTGTATATCTGCTGAATGTTGACTCCAGAGTTGGATACCAGTGCCTCATTTTAATAGCTTTAATTGACTTATATAAACAGACTGAGGTAGCTCAGAGCCTTTTGACAGCGCACACCATTTCCATGTCTTTGAAATTGTATTTATCTGTTGTATTGTGGTCTGACAAAGATTTTCATCAATATGAATCCTATATATAAAAGCTTACAAGATTACCAATTGGTTGAGGCAACACTGATTGTCTCAAGGTGCTTTACATTTTAAGGTGGAGACCCTCCAATAACACAGAGAAAACCCCAACAATCAGATGACCCCCTTTGAACAAGCACCTGGCAACAGTGGGAATGAAAAACTCATTTTTAACTGGAAGAAACCATCAGCAAAACCAGGCTCAGGGAGGGGCAGCTATCTGCCATGACTGGCTGGGGGTGAGGAGGGGGACAGGACAAAGACACACTGTGGAAGAGAGCTAAAGCTTAATAATGACTAATGATTAAATGCAGAGTGGTGTATAAGCGCACACATACAACCTGATTAATAGACTTGCGAATGTTGTACCATGGAAACCTGGCTTTGTACAATCAGCGTCAAGTACTGTAGTACAAAGCAGCAGTATGGAGGCCTTGACACCCCTAATGTCTTTATATTTTGCTAGGAAAATACGAAATGGGTGCAAGCACATATGCAAAGATACAGGGAAATAGAGCATATAAGGCATATACACCTCTGCAAATATATTTGCAATCAGTGGCTGTCGGGTAACTCTAGCAAAGATTTTTGTTTTTTTGCTACATCTCGACAGCAAATGGCAGCAAGCTGGCTGTGGAAGGTAGAATTCAACAGAAATGCGTAAAACGAAAAGGAAATTTAGCATAAAGGAGCTCAGAAACTCTTTCGGTTTCATTTCATGGCTTAAAAACTGAATGGACAAATTTAGAGGACTAAGAGTCAAAATTTCTTTATTTCACTTTGTAGCAGCACAAACCAAATAATGTGGGAAGTAATCTTTGTTTCCTGTGTGTCTGGGCTGTTTAGCTTGCAGCGCCAGGAAGCAGGCAAACAGCGGCTGACTATCCTCAGACTTGTCAGCAGTCTAAACTGGACTAAATCTCTGACAGGTGATGAGAGGCAGCGGCAGCAATGCTAAACTGACAAGCTGTCATGCAGTTATTTCCCTGGATATCAGTTTGTTGCCTGCAGGCTTCATCCGCAGGAAATCAGAGTCCCTTTTATTTTGGCGGGGAGAGAAGTCGATCGTCCCTGCTCTGCTTTTGTTTGTGGACAGGAACTTTTGTTTTTTTGTTCCTCCAGTAACTGCCATTTTTATTTTTTTAACGCTTTTATTTTTCATTGGTGTATTGATTCAGAGGCATTCTGGGAGTCCACATAGAAAAGTACCAGAGAAGTGAATTTTTATTATTGAGAAATGTTTTATGACTTCACTTCATTTTATATGTGGAGGCTGTAAAGAAATGTCCTTCCACCAGTTATTGATACACAGCTAAATTATCTTCTTTGTCAGTGACAAGGAAGGAGAGCAACTCTTACACCTCGCAGCCACAGCGGTTGTAAATTTCCTCATTCAAAAGTTTCTTTCATGAGTGTTTGAGACTTCACCTGACAACATGTTTGATAGAGTAATTTATCTTCCCCTGCAAGAGTCAACAATGCTCTTCTTCAAATTAAAAGGAAAGAAATTAAAGAATAACCTCTTTGTCCTCTCCAGGCGCCATCCTGGGACGCTCAGAGACGCAGGAGTGCGCCTACTACAACTCCAGCTGGGAGAAGGAGCGGACTAACCGCAGCGGCATCGAACCCTGCTATGGCGAGAAAGACAAGAGGCGGCACTGTTTCGCCACATGGAAAAATGTCTCCGGGACTGTGGAGATTGTCAAGCAGGGATGCTGGTTGGATGATGTCAACTGCTATGACAGGTAAGCAGGAAACATTTACGGGGAGGGTAAAAAAGCATTTTAAAGATATGCTGAACAAATATGTGAGTTTTACTGCTTTGGTGTGGTCAGCTGTGTGTTAAACTGCCATTTATTGTGGCTGGACGTGGCTTTAGTTGAAAGGTTGAACATCAAACAACCAATCAACCTTCAATCATCATCCAACCTGCCAATTATTCTCTCTCCCTATCCACCCACCAACCAATCGACAACACTACCTACCTAACTACCCAACCAGCTAGCCACCCAATCATTGACTCTATCAGTCAAACAAATTACCCTCCTACCAGGCAATCGACCAGACCCCCTACCCACCAACCCACTCTGCATACCAACCAATTATTCCAATAGTTACCTGCCCACTGCCACCCTGGCTTCCTACCTATCAACTAACCACCACATGTAATTACCACTACACCTGTTTATCCGCCCACTTACCTTCTTACATTGCTACCTATCTAGCTTTTCAACCATCACACCTGCCTACCCACTGAATCAACCTATCTATGACACTTGTGTATCCACCTGCCTCCCTCCTTTGTTTCCTTATTATTTCCTTATTATTTTAATATTCATTGCACTTCAGCTTCCAGTTTGCCTGCCTAATATCTGTCTAACATGAGAAATTAAAGAGGGAAAAAAAAAGCAAAATTTGGGGGTTGTTTTATCTGATAAAATTGAAGTAGGTCACATGACTTTGGTTTAATATTGAGGGGGAAAAAACAACCATCTAACTTCCCATTTTGGTTTCAGATAACAGTCTGGCTGAAGTAACAGTGCAAAAAGGAAACAAAGAAAATTATTTTTGTTTATTTATTTATATTATAATTCGTCTTTGATTACCACATGCATAACATATTACTGGGAAAGCGGAGTGTGTCTTAGTAGGTACTGTGGACTAAATGACCTGCTATAGTCATAGTATAAGCACACAGCAAGCATCATTGATGGGCATGTAGGGCAAATTTGGATTATTTTGAACTGCGAATCATGCATAGCTACTCTAATAGGGTCCAAGAATAAAAATATGGATGTTAGCAGAATAGTCCCACTTTAAGATTTACATTGTTCAAACAGTGCAGTGGTTTCCTAATAACCTTCCCACGCCTGTCTAAACTTTAAATAAAATACAGGACACTGTATAAAAAACACTGAGTATATACAATAAAGTGGCTTTATAAATAGCAAGCAGAATAGCTCATGAAGTCCAGTTAAAGTAAATAAACTGTAGTTTGATTACATTTCTGTGTATTTACATTTGGGTTTTCGCATCCAGCAGACTCCCTTTAACCTTAAAAACATAAGAAATCTCAGCTGATGATTTTAAGGGAACTTTCTGCTGTCACTAGAAGGTTGCATGGTATAAAATAGTAGTTAAATTCCCATCAGTAAGTAACAGAATACGGGAAATATCAAACTTTAACCAGACATGCGTGCGCTCTAAGAGGGTGAGCTTTTAATGGTGGCAGGGGTTGTTGCTGAGAAGCTGCCCATTAATTTCTGCACTGCCTCTGAATCAGGACAAAAGCAGCAGCCTCAACTCTAAATACATTTAAAATCACCTTGAGCATAATTTGTGTCCCTGTGTGAGATTCCACATCCAAATGGCTGCATTTTAATTACCACGCGCGAGGGAGCCTGAACCACAGCGTGAATTATGCGTCCACATCCAGGACGGTAAACAGATGATGATGATAATAAGAGATTATTATAGTTTGTCCCAGAGTAAAGCATCACCCTGGCCGCGGATACCGGTTTGAGCCAGTTCTGTTTTCCTTTTTGATTCCCGAACGATAAAGTTGTTGTCGGATGTGTAGCCCGCACAGTTCGGGGTACCTCTGCTCAGACGGCGCCGCCTCACCTCCCTGGAGAGTCCAGAGCAAATCGAGGGCGGCTGCCACTTCCTTTGGCTTTTATCTGATGGCTGCGTGAGTGTGAGAAGAGAGAGCAAGCGCGATTGTCGGCGTCCATGTTCGCATGTGTAGGAGTTATTTTATAAATGTTTTGTTTCATGTCCTCTGTTGCAGCAGCGAGGGAATGGAAAGCGGTGTTTGTTTGTTGTGTGTGTTTTCTTTTTTTCTTTTTTTTGCGTAACGTCTCCTGGAGTGAGTGCATGTTCAGAATAGCTCCCATGTCCTTTTGCAGTGCATGGAGAGGATTGAGTGTTTCTGATTTCCACCTCTGTGTCCTCTGCAGTAACGAGTGTGTGGAGAGGAAGGAGAGTCCCGATGTTTTCTTCTGCTGCTGTGAAGGCAACATGTGCAACGAGAGGTTCCTGTACGCCCCTGAAGCGCCCCCGCAGAGCGACCCGCACCATTCGACCGCCTACAGTATGTACAGTCCAGCACGCTCACTGAAAATGACGACTTCTCAGCGGGCGCAAACGCTTTCTTTTAGTCAGAGCTGCAGTTTGTTTGCTAGGCTTGAGCTTAATGCTTTAATATATGTTTAATGAGTTCCTGGAAAGTTGTAAGTTCATGCTATATGCTATTAATCTTTTCTGAGTTACAGGCACTCGAACTGCACAAGGGTTGGTCCATATTTGGCACTGAGCATCAGCCAGAGCTCTTTTCAATGCTTGTTGCTTTTACTCACTTCACTGAACTTTAGAGGGGAGCATCCAGTTGCTGTGTTCAGTGCATTGTCCTCATCTGCCGGTGTACACTCAGATCTTGCTTTGATCCTGAGATATTTTTTTTAGGTTTATGAAAAACGTATTCAGGGCTTGATCCCTGCAATAGGTCCAAACTATTATATACAACATGCGGACATCAATACTTCTCATTATTAGTAATGATGTCTTAATATCTATTATCCATATTGCGGTTGAGATGCCTCTTTGGTTCATCAGTCAGGTGCTCTCCGGTAAGGCGCCACTTGACTTTGCTTTTTTGATTTGAGTGTAGTGATGTGAACATCCTCTATTTTTGTAAAACAACATAAATAGGATGTTCAGTGTTTCTCACACTGTGGGACCAGGAGGAAAATATGGAGTAAAATTAAGTGGAATGGTAGCAATTGGCTGGGTCTTTTTGGAGTGAAAAATCATATTAAGAGTTTTAACTGTCATTTCAATTAAATTCGACTTGGAACTTTTTTTAAAATGTCACTGAATGCGAAGCAGTCACACAGGCGTAGAGATGAGGCTGTGACTCCCTGGCAACCTCTGGTCACTGAGGTAAAATGTGTATTCCTCCACCAGTTGCCGAGCGGTTGCTGGAGTTTGTTGGTAATCATTACCATGAAATCGATTGTTTTAGTGAATCATCCTATTTGCAATCTTTTGCTTCCTTTGGCTAATAGCAGATCGCTATGATCGCCTATAGTTTGCATGAAAGATCGCCAATTTGTCTCCAACTTCTTGCTGAGCAATAATAAAACTTCAAAATAAAAAAGTGCAATGGAAACAGAACACATAAAAGTGCCTTACTACTTACTGTTTCAAATGGTGCAACTTTTACTTTGAGGTCAGAAGATACCAGCTTCACCACCACTCTGCAAGCAGTTGGCAAGTGTTTGCAGACAAGTCGCCATCTTCTGTGCAAACAACAGGTGACCACCTGCTGCAATCGCAAGGTGGTTAGTGGAGCAGCACCAAGACCAAGTAAAATTGTGTCTGAAAGATGCTGCATAAATAAACTTGGAGAAAAAACAAGGGACCAAATGGCAACAAGCAGACTCCCGCAAACAACTCACCAACTTGTCAGGGAATCTCTTGCAAATGGTTGTTACTGGGGATCATTGACTGGTCTCATAGTCGAGCACAAACATACGAGCGTACTGAGTAATTTGTTATTTTTTAGCAACCTGTGGTGGTGGTTGCCAGCTGATCTCTACGCCTGAGTCAGTGGGGCATTGGAAACACTCAGGCCAACCAAAATGTGGTGATTCACCTTACAATAGCTCTGTTAGTGTGTTTCTCCATTCTTTATGTATAATATTTGACTATATTAGAAATGTCTTTTGCCCCAGAAGGAATTTTGGCTAGAGAATGAACCTGGTATCAAAATGTAGATAAGAAAAGGAGTCCTTTCATATACTGTAACTTGTTTTGAGCAGCCACCTGTCTCCCATGGTGATATATGACCCTTTGAAGTTCACCCAAAATACACTTTTTGAAGTTTTCTCCAGTGAAAAATCAGAAAACAGATCAAACATCCAGGATCCCAGTCCTTTTTTCCGTTCTCTCCATGTCACAGATATTATATCAGTGCAGTTTTGCTATCAAAGCTGTGAATATATTCCGTTATATCAACTAATCAGCTAATCTCTGATAGAATACCCATAAGTGTTTCGAGGGCCTATGAATTTACAAGTATTCATACTATCGAGGTAAAATATTTCGTGAAAAAGATTAAAGTTATAATACACACATATTAACTGATTGTGAGGTGCTCACGGCTTGGTTTGATTGGTTTTATATTAAAACCCCAACTTATCAACTTCGTACCTCAGTACTTGTTTGGAAGGTTATTTCTAAAGTTATTCCTATCAACTTTGTTTCTATAGCATGGCTCATGAATAAAAAAATATACCTTAAGCAAACAATCAGAAGCACATACAAGTTATTTCTACAATCTGGAGACATCCGGGCTTTTATTTTGAAAGCCTTACCTTGCACAAAGGGTGTAATGTAAGAAATTATGGAGGGCTGCCATCAACTGAGCTTCCTTCCAGGTGTTCAGGGCTGGAATGATGATTAAAAAGTGAATACAGGTTTGAGGGAGGCATGTCTGGGCTTTGTGTGGTTCTCACCTGCACTAAACGAAGCATCGGGAAAAATATTTAAGCGAATATGTGAATCATTTATTTGTAATGAAGTGGAAATATTGCAAAAGATTTCACATCAGTATGTATTCATGGTTCTGAATATCCACTGAGCTTAGTAACTGATATATTATAGAAGAATATAAGATCAATGCATCCCTAAGAACATGATTCAGACTCCTTTTTTAGCCCATTTCAATGCAATGGAATTTACTTTAAGAAACAAAAATGTTAAAAAAAACAATGTGTTTACCTCCTTGAATAGGAATGGAAATGAGACATTAAACTAGCTTACATGTAAAGTCCAGACAGCCTCATAATGTGGGTTAAATGGTGAATGTAAATGCAGCAATGCTGATGATATCAGCGTTAAGTGTAGTGGCTCTGCACAGTAATGAATGTGGAAAAAAAATTGAGCGAAGCATGAGATCAAGTAGGAAATGAAGACTGACCACAGCTGGGGCAGATCTGCGACCTCAGTGCCAGTCCACATCAGCTCACAGCTCAGCTGACACATCTATTGGACAGCGTCATCTTATAACTCGGCTTTAGTCTGCTTTCATTTGCTGCTGCCACTGCCCCTGCAAGCTACTTGGCAAACCCACCTCTGCCCATCTCCACCTTTCATGCTGTATTCGGCTAAAATCATTCCAAATCTGTCAACTATCCTGTGAGGGAGTCACGCTGCCGATCTTAGTGGAACTATGCACCAATTGCTATTTTCTTCTCGATAATGACACTCTGAATTAACTGAACATCAGGGCTGCTACGATTTGTCGCCATAATCGACGAAACGGATAATAAAAATTTGTTGATGCAGAATGTTTATTGACAACACGTCGTATTCTAAAACCACATAAGTGTGTTTTATAACCAAAATAAAATTCAAACAGCCCTCCTCCCCACCTCTGCTGCTGCACTTATATTTCCATCAGGTATGCGAAAGCACAGGCCGAACTACCTGCAGCATGTGTCAAAAAGTGTCCTCAGACGTCACCAAGCCCCAGGCAGCCAACCCACTCATTTTTATTTCACAGGAAAAAATCTTTCTTTCTTCTTCATGTTTTTTTTTTTTTTTAACTTCCATTGGGTTCTCCGCCTACTGATACCAGCCTGACCCTCACCTTTAAGGCCAGCAGCCTTGTGAGTAATGAAGCTCATCCTTTGGGGTCAAGGCCGGGTCACAACTAAATCCAAATAATCTATTAGTAGAGAAGCTAGCAGGCAAAACGGCTACCGATGGAAATCAGAACAGAAATTTGTACGTTTTCCTGTTATTCTTGGCCATTTTGTCAACAAACATGTTTAACGTGAGTAGATTCAACCCTGCTTCAATAATAAAATAAATAGAAATGATTTCAGACCTCAGACATCTTTTAAACGCAAGAGAAATCTTTAATTTAGGACTGGCAGGAAATTAATCAAACTTTATTTGTATAGCGTTTTTCATGCAGGTTAGTAAAGTTCACAGTCCTTCACTGTAAAGCAGGAAATTAGACAAAACTGGGGGTTATGTGCTATTATGGGTAATTTAATATAAGTTAAAGAGACAAGCGATCAAAGGAATAAATTAATCAATTAGGAGTACAGTATTTATAAGTATATAAATAAAATGAATGAAAAAGATGTACTTATCCCTGAATTTAGTATAACAGGAGGTTAAAGCACATTCAGGTACCGGTGATTAATGCTTCACCAACCAGTGGTGTCCTTGCGCTCATCAGTTTGCAGCTGAAGTGTCTGGCAGGCCCGTCTGTCTCACCCTTTAAATCTGACTTTGTGAAACCTGCAGACTTCCTGTAGAGGAACAACTTTCCACAACGTCCCGACAAACACCCTCAGGGTCCCACAATGCAGCTGGTGCAGTCCTGTCGGCACCTACCCCCTCCCTCACGCCTTTCTTCACTTCCCTGCTCTCAGAGGGCGGCAGCGGCGGGTCGGCGTCCGAGCGTCGGCGTTTTGACAGCGCTGCCGAATCAGACGGCCGCTTTGTGACGGGAGGACAGGCTGAGCGAGCAGGCGTCACCCTGCGCCTCCTGCAGGGGTCGGGCACAGTTCAGAGCTGTTATTTTTGGCAGGCGGATTACGTTATGTCACGAGATGGATTTGCTAATCCTGCTGTGCGTGTGTGTGTTTGTGTGCGCTTATGTGCGCTGATATGATCTGTAAGCAGGGTTAGAGCTGCATTTAGAGATAGAGGCCCAGCGTGAGGCCAGCTAGGAAGGCTGTGTACTCTTGTCTTTGTTTGGCTGATCCTGGAGCAGTTTCTTCTGAGAGTTTCAGTCACTGTGGGCTCGTTTCTCTCTGCAATATAAAGTCCTGCACTCTTGTGGAAAGAGAAAAACCAGAGCTTCAAGAGGAAAGAAGTCAGAAATGTCTTTTGTGAAGTATAGCACAATTTAAAAATACTGAAATATAAAATATAATACAGAAACCGATGATACCAGTGTAGGAGAGGAAAAACCTTCACATGTTAAATCATTAAATGTTTAGAACCTCTATAAATCAGGCATTCTTCATGCCGCTCTGCAAATTGACTTCATGGAGATATTTTCTGTGTATGATCAGGAAGACTGCCCCACACTCCTTTCTGTGGCCGTTACCACATTTGTAACCAAGAGGATGTTGGCCGTGTTTTTGTTGTTGTGGCTGGTTTAGGATCCAACAAGCTTGACGTGACTCTGTGCTTTGTGATAGGCGCTTCAATGGAAGGGAGGTCTATCTGAATTGGAGGATCTGATATTATCACCAATCAGAATAAACGTAATCTTAGATTAAATAAATCATTATGACGATCTCCTGAAGTTCAAACTGAGCATCAGAATGGGGAAGGATGATTTAAGTGACTGTGCTGTAATGTGGGATATTTTCATGGAACTCTTTGGACCCCTTAGTACCAACAGAGCATCATTTAAACACCACAAACCTACCTGAGTGTTGTTCCTGACCATGTCTATCCCTTTATGTCTACCATCTTCTGATGGGTAATACACCATGTCACAAAGCTCAGATCATCTCAAACTGGTTTCTTGAACATGACATTGAGTTCACTGTACTCCCAACGGCCTCCACAGTCACCAGATCTCAATCCAGTTAGAGCACATTTAAGATGTGGTGGAACAGCAGATTCTTATCGTCCATGTGCAGTCAACAAATCTGCAGCAACTGTGTCATGCTGTCACATCAAAATCTCTAAACATTGTTTCCAGCTTCTTGTTAAGTATGTACCATGAAGAATTGAAACAGCATTGAAGGCAAAATTGGGTCAACCTGCAATAAAAAGCCTCAGGTGAAAGTATAATTGTCATTTTTTAATTAGGTGGGAGGCAGGCAACATGATGGGGTCTTTAACATCTCATATGATGCTTTTCAAGCACTGTGAATAGAAGTTAATGTTATTATCATGAATAAAAAAGGATGCAATGCTTTCATGAGGTGTTTTGGGTGCTTAAATGCTAGAAATGGGTCATTAAAACTTCACTGGTAGGTGGTTGCTAAGCAACATGATGATTTTATAATATCTGGTATAGATAAGAACCTTCGGGGGCCTGAGATGTACACGTGTGGCAAGTTTGGTTGCTCAATCCCTGATGGTGTATGAGTTGTGAGAGATTCGGTGTTCTTGCATGTCCACCCTTTGAGGCATATCGAGAACTATCAGTTCCAACAGGTTGCAAATAAGTTGAGCAATTCTGTATTATTTTAACGCTCGGGCACGGTTTATCTTACTGCCAGGAACCTGATGAAGGCCACAAGTCGAGACACGTCAGCGAATCAGTGAAGTTGTTCTTTACACACAAAGTGCTGCTGGTGTTTTAACATATTCAGATCTGTCGTGCTCTCCCTGCACTTTGAAAGTAGGTGAGGTTGTGGCAGAAAGCACCACTTTGTCTCTCCTTCAAGTACTCCACTTGTAGACGGAGCCTGTCGTATACAGCGTTAACAGAAACTCACTGATTTTGGAGTTGTACAGGGCACCGCACACCTTAAATTCATCGCACGTTCAATTCAACAATGACAGAACCCTCAGTTTTGCCCTGTTGTCATTTATCTGTTATTTATTTTTTATTTATTCACGATTTTACTGTCCAATTTAAACAACTTAGCAATAGCCAATTTACCAACTCCTATATTCTTTCTATTTATTTCATATGCTGCCTTGAGAGTTTGGTTGAACAAAAATGCACCGTGGCGATCTATTATCATGGCTCCTCACTTCAGCTGAAGTTTGTTTGTCTAGTCGTGCACATTGGTCATTTTTGTAGAACTATTAAAAGAGACGTGTTGAGCAATGAAGTCTTTCTAATATTTCTGCCTCTGTTACACACTGAAGCCTAATTTAGTTGGCTTTTCCTTATGGGACCCTTGGGTCACGCGTAGTTTAAATCCCACTGGGCATTTTGAACATCTAATGCTTGTTTTTACAGCTTGAAATATTAAAAACAAAACCCCAAAAGGTACTAATCCAGCGAAAGAAAGCATGTCCTTTGCATTCCACCTGGAGATTTGTGCTTCAGAAGGTTGAGTGTCGATATTTCACAGCTTTCATTACATATGCAGTATAAAAGGTGGACATAATCACCATGATTTCAGACACTGTTTCAATCACAAAGCTTTAAGATGAGCATTTTCATTGTTACCATCTTGGTGTTGAACATACCAGATAATCCTCCTTTCTAATTCTAATTATGACTATGATTTGTAAAAGTTACCTATATCATTTATTCGCTATGACCTGAAAATGGTGATCGAGTCCATGAGCTCATGAACAATGTGGTTACAAAGCGAGGGAGCTCAGACTGACTTATATAATGTCTGTTTCTCCTCTCACAGCCACCTCCAACCCGTTCTCCCAGAAGCCCCAGCTCTTCAGCACCCTGCTTTACTCACTGGTTCCCATCATAGGCCTGGCCGCGGTCGTCCTCTTCTCCTTCTGGATGTGGAGGCACCACAAACTGGCGTACCCAGCTGCCCTCGTCCCCACACATGTAAGTCCCACCAGAGTCCAGCCCATCACTGCTTTAATCCCGGTTTGTCTCTCTGTCTTCACGTTTGCTCGTCGCTGTCGTCTGATTTCAGAGGTCACCTGTCAGTCACACAGCGTGGCGAGGCTGCGGTGTCCTCTTTCTTCAAAGTTGCTTGCTGATGCAGTTAGTTTCTCTTTCTGTCTGTTCAGCCTCGGTGACCATCAGGTCTGACTTCCATCTGTTAATTGCAAACAAAGGGGAAATGTAAAACCAGTCAGTTCCTGCATGTCAGAGGATTCGTCCTCTGATACCTGAAAGTTCGGTTAAATTTATTACAAGAGACGTCCGTATGTGGTCTGAGGTTAATATTTATTTCTGACATGACTTCATCAGTTGCTCGCTTTTAAAAAGGTTGTGCATTATTTGAAGTTTGCAGTCAGGTGCAGTGTGCACACTGCCTTCTCTGTTTAACCAACCTTCAGCTTCACCACTGTTCCACTTCCATCAGTGGGCTTCAACAGCCTTGGCCTCTCCTGCCCTGCGCAGCCGAGGGACGGAGCGATGGTCAGCCAGAGCTGACACGCTGTGCTGAGAGTTTACGTCTGGATAATTGCTTTTACAATTTCTTATTTCAGTCCTGTTTAGAAGGATGAAAGGAGCCCTGGTTCTGTCTTTTTCTTTTTCCTGCGGGTCTCTTTTCAGAGCAAACTCATCTCAGACTCGCTTTTAATTCACCACATTGAGGAGTCAGGAGATGAGCCGAACTGTATTGTTGAGAGTGTGTCAGACAGGCTTTTAATCACACACAAGTGCGATTAGTCTGATCAAAAAATACCTGTGCCCTTTTTTTGGGGGGTTATTTACAATTAGCCCTGTTCCATATCAGATTATCCCTAGTGAAATTGTCACACTGCAATGTCATTGCTATAGCAATGGTTTACGTTACTTAGTGGACAAAACAATGAAATAAGCCCAGGCATGTCTGAGGAAGAGACTGTGTCACCTTGCGAAGTTTATTTAATACCTGGAAACAGAGATACTTCGACAAACTCGATCAACACACATTACTGTGCAAAATATGCACAAAAACGAAAACAAAACTATTTTTCATTCAGTTCAATTTTATTAATGTAGCGCTAAATGACAACAGCAGTCACCTCAGGGTTCTTTACATTGTAAGGTAAAGACCTTAAATAATATGTTTCACCACTTGAGTCTATAAAAGACATCATCAAGTACACGGTTGGTGATGTGTGAAACAAGTGATGTGTAAACAAGTAAATCCACCAAGCAAGTGACAGGAAGTGGAAAATGGGTGGGTGTAAGGTACAGATGCAGTTATCTGATGGAAAGGCATGGCTTTAAACAACTCCACTTAGCCAACTGATGTGTCCATGTCCACGCCAGCAATAAGTATCAATAGAAGGCGGGGCGTCCTTAAAAATTAACGGGCTAAAATTTACATTTAAATTTAATCACATTAAATGTTAAACACTTAGTTAGGCTAATGGTAGCTGTGCTAGTTGCTAGCGTTAGCGTTTTCTACATCAAAATAAAATAAAACACTAAAATATTTGTTAGTCTGAGAGCTATAAATGAGGGGAAAAGCTGTTACTGTTATTGTGGATTTTAAAGGCAGTTGAGCCACTACCTCTTGTTATTTGTTTAACTTCATTTAAGTGTCTTTTTATACCACATTTGCTTTTATTTTGGTTTTCGCATTTTCTTTTGCTAAGTACCGCTAAGTGTACTGACACAATTTCCCGCACAGTGATTACTCTGTTAAGCTATACGTGGCCGAAGGACAAAGAGCTGGTGACTTGCGGTCACTTTGAAAGGAGCCCGTGTGCATGGGCGCCCTGGTCATTTTCTTTTGTTACTGTCTCATTTAGCAATTAATGAACTGCTGAGTGCTGACCCTCAGACACCCTCAGACCATCAGTTATTAATGCGAGCAATTCTGCAGAGTGTGAGGGCGGCGGAGGCACAGTTACCATGGATTACTTTGGTGCTGAAGGAATATGAGCAATTAATAACAACAATAACTAACACGGGTGACAAGCTTACGGCCACATAGCGCTCAGCGAGTCTATGATGCTAGCAGATCATACATGTGTGACAGTTTTTGGGCGCTTCCCTTTGGAATTCTTTCCTGAAATGCTTTAAAACCACACAAAGGATGAAAGTAGAGGGAAATATTTATCATGCTGAGCATGAAATGAAATCACACCCAACACCATCTCCAGTAAGAGCCACAAAAAGATATTTTTAAACAAGATGTCTCCAAATCTGACTCATCCAATCCGCTTCGGGTTTTCTTACAGGCTCCCATGGTTCAGTTTTTGGTTTATTTTTTATCACTTTATTGTCATTCAGAATGTAAACTAATTAGTGGACATGAGAACAAAATTTCGGTGCATTTATTAACCATTCGGACTGTACAATATAAATTAATCTAAAGGTATAAATCTAGCAGTGTTAACAGTAAGGAAAACTGCACAAGATCTTAGGAAATATATTTCACAGCACTAATAGCAGAATAAAAACCAGTCTACATTCACTATTTCAGGCCTGCAACTGCACTGCCCTAAATAAACAGTCATGATGTTAGTTGTATAGTCACTGATATGAATGATGAGCGGAGATTTCAGAGGGTTGCAGGAAGTATACCAGGAGTTTTTCCTGAGGATACGTCAGCTTAGCTGATTATATGTGATCCATGTGTCTTCAGACGTCGTCCCGCTGTTTCCTCCTCCGCTGATATCTGCTTCGGTTTGATGGATGTTTGTTTAATGTTGGCGCCAACCCGGAACAAGTCGGCGAGTGGTGCTTTGGTGTGCATGTGGCTGTTCTGGGGCGTGTTTGACAGTCACACATGGATCAATGTCGCTGATACAGGTAGTCGCTCCCAGAGGAACAAACAAAGAGACGCAGGCGATTATCTACAAATAAATTCAGAATTTTTTGGTGTACTGGTTACCCCTGCATGCCTCTAGCTAGCTTCAAATGTCACCATTTAATGTACGCCCTAATGAAATACTAAGACGGTAAATGGATACCTTTTCTTAGTCACCACGCTCATCGTGTTTCCTGATTTAACGCTGTCATAAACCTTTCAGACACCCCACAAATTCTCGCTGTTTTAGGACTGAGAATAAAACCATTTCACCAAATTCCTGATTAATTTAGTTTCTGTGATTCGGAGGCTGTTTCAACCCGACAGCAGCAGCGATGTTCTCGGCTGCTCAGCAGCAGGGGAAAAAGAAAACCCATGCACAGCTTCCACAGTATGGAAGAGAGGAGTCAGGGGCCTCTGCATTATTGATGAGGCTTTATATAGGCAAACAAAACTAAGCAGAGAGAGACGCTCGCAGCTCTGCCTCCGAGGGTGGTGGTGGTGGTGTTGGCGGTGGGTGGGAGAATGGGGAGTGTGGGGGTGGGAGTGAAGAGAGACATGCAGTTCTCTTAACTTGGCTATTGTATCTGCACGGTGCTAAAGCACGGCAGGAAGAGGATAAAAAAGACAGCAACACAATGCAATCTGGATACCAATGGTGATGGAAAAACAACACCGCTAAGAAGCTTATGAAGCATCTTACCTGGGAGCAGATAAATGAATAAATAAACAACAGAAAACAAAACAAGATCAGCACTGGGGGGAAAAGAGTGGATCAGATAACAAAAGATGATACAGAGGGGATTAGAAAAATGCAGCACCTATAAGATTTGTAAAATCAGAGGGGAGTGAAATGAAATAAAATAGCCAGGGTGGAACAAATGGAGTCATGCTGCATGTGTGTAACCCTCTGTGTGCGTGCAGGAGTGCATTATTGCATGAATGAGTAGGTGTGCAAGGACAGGAGAGGGGAAGCAAAAGGAGGTCACTCAACTCACAAGGAATGTATTTAAAAGTCAGCTAATATGCATTTCTGGAAGAGGGCGATGAGGTAAACTCCACTCGCCCGCTGCGTGAAGGTGGGTAAAACAAACGGGAGGTGCGCTTGCGGTTCCCCTCTGCAGCCACTTTTGTGTCCGTTGCTTATTTTGCAATTGATTAAACCTGTTTTTTCAATTTAGGAGATGGAGAGGAGAGAGGTGGGTGCAGTGGGGAGAGGAGATATGGAGGGATTTATTTCTGCTGCCTTTTTTCTTTTTCGTATGTGTGTGGTGCTGTTGATGTTTTTCAGTTACACCACAGGCGCCGCTTTAAAAAAATAAAAGCAGAGGTGACTCCGACAATCACTCAAACAGCCTGCAAAGTCATCAAGGACGGCTGCTAGCAATTCAGTTGTTGAAGGGGACAAAAAAACACCACAGACACCCTCTGTTACAACAGAGGTTACTCATTTAGGACGTGCAACACCTGCTCGATGAAGTGAGGCATTTAAAGGTGTCCTGTCTGCTTGTTAAGTGACGACATATCAACCCTGTTTCCGGGTCCACCTGTCTTCTGTGTTTGACGATGAGCCTCTTGTCTTTTAACCTGCTTTCCCTTTTAATTGTAACGAGTCCCACAAAACTGTTGAGGGATCTGTTTCAGAAAAGAATCGCTCACATGGCCCCAACTTTGCCGCTACATAGTATCTTTATTTTTCTCGACATATATTTGCGCCTCTCTGAAATTAAGATCATCCCTGCTATACTGTGTTTACAGTAGCTAACCATAGCTCTGTAGATAGCCACCAGGTAGTAGCTAGTCGTTAGCTAGCCCACTTTCACTAACCCTCCAAACGTCGCTGATATTTCATCTTCTCTTTTATATCCAAAGTTATAGCAGTGCTGTATGTCAGACCATGGTATACCTGCTAATTAAGCGTTATAAATGCTCTTTTTCATAGATTCTTGGACTCCAGAGCAGCCACCCTGGTTATTTTATTGGAGCTCAAAGAATTTGAGTAGTTTCTGCCTCTAAAGGTAGCAAAAATCTGTTGTCTCCGCCGTCTTTAAGCCATCTTTCTTCTAATTGGCTGCCCCTCACAAATAGCTGGTGGGTGGAGCCTAATTTCCTATATCCGAGATGT